GTTATTAAAGCTTCTGTTGAACAATCACTGCAAGAGAAGTTAGCAACATTAAATGTACGAAGTGAGCAAGCTGAATCAACACGCTCTAGATTAGTTCAGTCTCCAAGGGGATTAGGTGCTGATACTCTCCCTAATAGTGCCCAGAACTCTGACATACCCCTTGACTGCGGACCATACAGCCCCAGAGGTAGCAATCGATCAAACTCAAGTTTGAGTTCAGAAAAAGCAGCTAGCATTATGCAAACCTGGCGACTTAAATTTGACGGTTCGAAAGACTCTATGCAGATAGATGAATTCTTGTATCGAATTCGTTCATTAACGGCTCAAAATTTGAACGGCGACTATAGGCTGCTTTGTGACAATCTTCATTTACTTTTTTTCGGGAAAGCCAATGATTGGTTTTGGAGCTTCCACAAGAAAAACCCACAGTATACCTGGTTGGCTTTCTGTACGGATTTCCGACTTAGATTCGAGGACGTTAAAGACGACTTTGACTTGTGGGAACTAATTAGGAAAAGACGCCAGAAAGATCAGGAGACATTTGATGATTTTCAATCAGCGATTGAAGGCCTGGTTAGCCAATTATCTAACGAAATAAGCGAAGACAAGCTTGTTGACCTATTAAAACGCAATGCGAGAACAGCGCTCAGGTACGAACTATTGCATTTGAAGATTAGAACTCGAGCAGAATTAAGAGAGGAAGTTAAGAAACATGAAAGTTTCTGTAGAGAAACTGGCTCGTTTCCCAATCGAACCAAATACGGTAGAGGTAATGTCTCTGAGTTACTGGAAAATAATGATATAGAAGATAATATTTCAGAAATACAGAACAAGAAAATAGTGTGCTGGAATTGCGATAAAGTGGGACACCGATTCGATGACTGCATGGGAGAAAGGCGTATATTCTGCTACGGTTGCGGTGCTAAAAATACTTTTAAACCCAATTGTAGCAAATGCAATCTTTTGGGAAACCGGAAGCGGGATGCGCAGACCAACACCAGTTTGACGCATCCCACAAAAGAATAAAGTCCTTGCCAGAAATACAGTCATATGGTAGTTTGGAGCAATCAACTCCAAATACTATATTTACAACTTATATGGCAAATACATGTTCAGTCGCCGAGACTGCAACTCAAACTGATATTGAAAATAAGTACGTACCGTACCATATTAGAGTAAAACACTATCTTGACACACGAAGACGAATTTTTAGCAGCATAGAACCCATCGAATTTCTCAGTCGGCCAAAACGCTCTACTGTTCGACTTAGGAAATTCTGGAAAAATATTAAAAGTCTTCGTAAGAAGCTCGTTCAATCAGTGTTTATGAGCTCAGATAACCGCTTGTACACTGAGTTAAGCCTAGAGGGAGAAAAATATGTAGCATTATTAGATTCCGGAGCGACGATTAGTTGCCTCGGTAATGTTGCAGCTAAGTCACTGTTGTCACATCCCAAAGCGCGCAAATGCTCTGGATCAATCCGAACAGCTAACAACGCTATTTGCCCAGTGGTAGGCAAACTGACACTTAAAGTTGAATTTCGAAAACAAGTGCATAATGTTGATTTTTATGTTATACCCGATTTGAAACAAGATGTTTACTTAGGCATAAATTTTTGGCAGGACTTTGGACTGTTAACGAATTTAATTCGTCCTGATGAGTCCGTAAATGAATTAGACAACAGTAACGAACAGGATATCCAGGAAACAGCGAAAATGCATCAGCTAACCGCTGAAGAAAAGTCACGATTAAATTCGATCATTTCTAATTTCTATTCTTATGAAAAGGAAGGATTAGGACGCACTGAGTTAATCGAACATCGCATTGAAATAGATAATGTGACCCCCGTCAAACAAAGACATTGGCCTATTTCGCCAGCCGTTGAAAAGCTAATGTTTGACGAGATCGAGAAAATGCTAGCTTTAGATATAATAGAGGTATCGCATAGCCCCTGGAGCAGCAACTGCGTCCTTGTGCAAAGAAAGGATAAAAACAGGCTGTGTCTAGATTCTCGAGTCATAAATAAGTACACTCGTAAAGATGCGTACCCTCTACCCCATATCGACGGAATTCTTAGTCGTCTGCCGCCGGCTAAATATATAACGGGCCTCGATATGAAGCACGCATTCTGGCAGATACCCCTAGAAGAAAAATCACGTCAGTATACCGCTTTTACAGTCCCTAATCGTCCATTATTTCAATACAAAGTAATGCCGTTTGGATTGTGTAACGCTCCTCAAACGCTTTGTAGACTAATGGAACGCGTGATACCAGCCCATTTGCGGACCCGCGTATTTGTCTACTTAGATGATTTACTTCTGCTATCAGAGGACTTCGATTCGCATATGTTGCTTTTGCAGGAAGTAGCGCTGCACTTGCGTAAAGCGAACTTGACAATCAACATCGCAAAATCAAAATTTTGTATGCGGGAAATTAAATATTTGGGCTTTATAATTGGGTATGGTCAACTAAAGACGGACCCTAGCAAAATACAAGCTATTAACGAATTCCCTGTACCAAAAAGTGTAAAACAACTGAGACGTTTTCTTGGACTCGCTGGATGGTATAGACGTTTCGTTAATCATTATGCAACAGTTAGCTTTCCGCTTACAGAGTTGCTAAAGAAATCGAAAGTATTGAAATGGAACACTGATGCTGATTCCGCTTTCAACACCTTAAAAACACTTTTAACTTCTGCACCTGTATTGGCTACACCCGACTTCTCAAAACCTTTTAGATTAGTTTGCGATGCTAGCACAACTGGTTTAGGATGCGTTCTAGCTCAACTAAATGAACAGGAAGAGGAGGCTCCAATAGCATACATGTCAGAGAAACTGTCAAAGGCCCAACGGAATTATAGTGTGACCGATCTGGAATGCTTAGCCGTAATAAGAGGTATTTTTAAATTTAGAGCGTATATAGAAGGACAGGACTTCGAAGTAATAACTGATCATGCTTCCTTACAATGGCTCATGAGACAGAAGGATCTCAGAGGACGTCAAGGTAGATGGGTGATCAAATTACAGGGCTTCAAGTTTAAAGTCTCGCATCGTAGCGGTACACAAAATGTTGTCGCTGATGCGCTATCGCGTCAAAATGAGACAGAGCTTGCGGAATTCGAGGAGCAAGGTCCCATAGTTGACCTGTCTTCACCCGAATTCAAATCGCCAAACTATCTGGATCTGATAGACAGTATTTCTTCTAACCAATCCAGATTACCGGATTTACAGATAATCGACGGTTTTATATATAAACGTACTGAGCCAGCGACGGGATATAGCATTCAGGAGAAACAATCCTGGAAACTCTGGATACCTTCGTCTCTCACCCTACAAGTGATAGAGAGAGCCCACAATCCCCCTAACGCTGCACACAGTGGCATCGGAAAAACAATAGAGAAACTCAAGAGATACTTGTTTTGGCCAAAAATGTCGGCCCAAATTCATGAATATATAGTCAATTGTAAAGTTTGTCGGCAAACGAAAAGCCCCAATGTAGTGTTGAGACCTCCAATGGGCAAGCCTATGACGTCAGAACGGCCATTTCAGAAGCTCTACATGGATCTTCTAGGGCCATATCCTCGGTCCAAGAACGGCAATATAGGTCTCCTGATGGTTGTAGACCACAATACTAAATTTCATTTTATGTGGCCTCTTCGCGCGTTTACTACCAACAAAATTATCGACTATCTAGAAAACACACTGTTTTGCACTTTCGGCGTGCCAGAAACTATTCTGACCGACAATGGCTCTCAGTTCATTTCTAGTGTCTTTAAAGCTTTTCTTACCCGGTATGGAATCATCCACATTCGAACGGCAATATACTCGCCACAAAGTAATGCGAGTGAGCGAGTAAATAGATCAGTATTAGCGGCTATTAGAGCCTATATCGGAAAAGATCATTCAAATTGGGATAAAAAGCTGTACGCCATTTGTGCTGCCTTGAGAGCCAGCGTTCACCAAAGTACAGGGTACTCTCCATATTTTTTAGCGTTTGGACAGAATATGATGTTAAACGGTAAAGACTATGACTTGCTAAAGCGACTTAACCTCTTGTCCGAAGACACTGCTATTGAGAGGCCCACAGCCTTACAAGTAATCCGTCAGATAGCTAAAGACAATGTAGCTCAGTCACATAATAGAAATGCTAAGATATATAATTTGCGCAGCCGAAACATAAGTCTTACTGCCGGTACGAAAGTCTTCGCCCGCAATTTTTGTCAGAGTAACGCGCAAAAGAAGTTTAGTTCTAAGCTTGCACCAGTTTTCATTCCGGCGATTGTTGTACAAAAAGTCAGCCCAGCCTACTATCAACTAGCTAATGAAACAGGTAAATGCATCGGTACTTTTCATCTCAAAGATATACAAACTAGTAACAAGTTCTAACTCAACAGTTATTATAGTTATTTCAGTTTATGTCCCGCTAGCAAGTAGCGCTGCATAAACTGTGGTGTAGTGGCTGCTTTGCACTCCCCAAACGAATCTGCTTGTTGATCAGCTGCTCTAGTTTAGTTACTGCTTTACCGACCGCGCTGGAAGCCAATTCTTCGTTTATTGCACAGCTGAGGGCATGCGCAACCGAATAGGGCGAATAGAGAGGAAAAAGGTGATAAGATCAGGCCATAGTACCGTTTTAAAATATAATCGCGTGATGTAGAGCTTTTGAAAGCTTCCTTATTTTTTTTTGTCGTTGGGAAGTAGTAAAGGTTAAAAGTACAGCTCAGCATGTCAGATATATTTGAAGCGCGTGCGAGTTAAGTTCATAACATTTTTTCTTTCTTTGCAAATAATTTTTGCAAAGACATCAACGACCAAGGCTGCAATTGTGGTACAGTTTGGAAGTGTTCTTTTGGTACGCTAATAGAAACCAAAAACCTTCATAACAACTCGACCCACTAACCTAATTGTGATTCGGGGTGACCCTTAAAGAAAAGTTTCCGTGCCTGCTCAGTTGACTAGATTTAGACGTACTAGTCGGCACTACCAGAGGGGGAGATCGGACCAGACAAGGGCAACACCAAGAGCACGTGTCGCACTTAGCAACCCAGCAGAACCAATTTTGTTGCTATTTTACTTATCAGCCGCTGTCTTGCGAAGAACAACATCTGGCATAGCCTCGGAAAACGGCGTCAAGCGGGTGAAACGCTTACTATTTATGCAGCACCATCGGGACCGCATGCACTAAGCATATAGTGTAACCTGCAGAGAGTAACAAAGGAGCCGAGTCTGTATTACTTTTGGTGTACCCCTTTCGCTTGCTTAGCAGCATTGCCATATAATTCCATTAATTGTTTAACGTTGCCAAGATGGACGGCTAATAGATCCTTAGTTTTAATTTTTATTTCCTTTAATTTTTTTTTTTTTTACTAATTTCTTTAAAACAAAATGTGCAATGAATATGCCTAAATAAGTTAAAGCGAGAGGAAATTCCTACACCACCGACCTTGACCGTTGCTCATATATATATATATATATATATATATATATATATACATGTGTTTATATACTTATAAATTTCTTTTGTAATATTTAGCAACAGCGATCATAATCGTCGTATACATTGGGCCCAACGTCTGCTTCGAAGGATATCGCGTGAGTAAGAGTTTAAACCAATGCCTATAGATATATGTAGTTATATACACACATGAACATTTAAATGCAGTTAATTTAGCAAGACGGTAAATTAATTACTATCCGTCAAGTCTCAAGATAATGTTGGTGAATTTCTCCTTCCCCTTAATTTCTTTATGGGATTTAAACTAGTTATTGCACATTCATCATATTAACTTTGGATTCAAATTTTGTTTGGAAACTGTATATTTTTTCTTGTAAATAGAGTTATACTCACCTTGCTATTAATTGGCAACAAAATTGAACAATGCGTGAATAAACGAATTATATTAGCTTATATGATATGATATCCTAATTCCATAATTAATTGTTTTATCTGTCAAGTACCCATGTTAGCCGCTTGCAATTTATAGTGATGGTTTAAGAACCTGAAATAGGGACAAGCATCCACATTCCATTTTTTTTTTTTGCTTGTCAAGGTAGGGAGGGTAAAGAGAAAGAGAGACGATCAACACCTTAGTTCTCTCACTTACGCGAAATTGAATAGTTTGAATTTGGGTGTTCGGTCGGAACACATTAATGGTACCCATACTAGAATCCGGTTTTTTTTTTTTGTTTCAATGGATTTACTTAAATCAATAAGTTTTTTTTTATTTTTTTTGATCGCACTTAAACTATGTGTTTATGGTAAGTGCAAAAGGGAAAGGAAAAAACCCCGACCAGTCCGACGAGCTATTGTCCGAGTATTAGCAAGAAGTGCGAACCTCCAATCCCTATGCACCCGGTTAGGCAACAGCCACGGCCGTTTGTTTTTATTTTTGGTAGATGGCCAAACGAAAGGCAAAAACTGAACCCGAACCTCCCCACCATTACACCTTTTGAATACAAAATAATTTAGCAGAACTTTTGCTTTTTCACACGTAGCCCCAGAAATCGGACAACAACTTATATGGCAAATTACGAAAAGTATATAATTCGCGTACCGTCACATTATTGCGTTCAAGTGAATCATTTTGATTGATTAGAAAAAAATTGCAGAGAATGCGAGGCAATTAATATATGTTTCCTTTTACACTGTGCAGAATAGGTAAGGCTTAACGAATTGTAAACAATATGAAACAATACATATGGCAATATAAACAAATAATTAGTTTTTGGTTAAGTATGATGAGTTTCAATAAAATGTGTTAGTGGGTTATAGAAGAAAATAAAATGGTGCTTAAATAGGAATACATTAATTTAAGATGAATTTGTTTTCAACTTCTTCAAAGTGCTACTTATTTACACAATTTTCGTTCTTATTCTAGAGGGTATATCTTCGTTGTAGATCATTAATTTGAACTGCAGTTTTCATGGCGGTTTTTCTATTTGTATTTGGCGGCAAGTTGCGCAAAAGTTTTCGGCAAATTTTCATTAAAATTTCAATGGCATGTGACCACGTCTTCAGCAAGTTCGTCCTCCCTCATCTGCTGCCGCAACAAAACATCGCGGCCGCGTTAATTTGAAGGCACTTCAAAACCAGAACGAACAGCTAAATTTTAGCACGCCAACGTTTAAATACCCTCACAGAAAAAAGGCAGATGAGCCGTCATTTAACAGAATTGGCCTACTATTCATATTAGAGCTAGATGATAAGATTTTTGCCAATACTGATTAAGAATTAATAGTTAAGTATGGCATCAAAGACATCTTCATGTATGTGTAACACCTTTGATGACAAGTTAAAAATGCCTCTGAAAGGGTATACGAGCGCATTTGGCAATATTGTGACTGTTCGGGCGGCAAATAGAGAGAAATAGGAAAGGGTTGAGACGTTAAGGACGCTGGCGTATTTATGTTGTCAGTGGACTTGTCAAGCAGACGAACAGCAGTTGGTAATGTACAAATTAAAAATTTTTGGTTTTTCATGTTGGCAATTGGCCCAGTGAACGCGTTGTTTTTGTATGTCACAAACGCAGGCACTGGAAACCGATTAGAGTGTGAAAATATAGTCTGAAATATGTGTGTAGAGACAATTAGGTGTGTCATGTCAAATATATATAAATTGAAAATTAGTCATACGATGCAATTATCTTTTTAATATATGCTGTAAAAAAGTATCTTAACTTTTTAGATACGCAAACACAATACACATTAATTATGCCATGTCAGTTATTATGTAATGAATACACTTACGAAAGGTTCTTTTGTACCCATATTTCGTCCATGCTGTGACGACAACCTTTCGTCATCTAAATTGGCATCATTTCGCAACTTTAAAGGGTCTTAAAATGAACGACGAACCAAGCGAACCAGAAATCAATTAAAAGCAATTTTAATAGAAACCAAAGTGTTAAATCAACAAAAAGAAAAAAAGCAAGCCGAAAACAAAAAAAAAAAGAAAAAGGAATACAATTTAGAGAAAACATTGCCATTTGACTGGGGTCAATATTAATTTTGTTGCTTTTGTTGTTGTTGTTGTTGCCATTGGTTCCACGAGCTATTCGGCTTGGTGCCAAAAATAGCAATAGATATTAGATATTTTTCGGCCGAAGCCGCAGCGGGCCAGGAAATGAGAATTCGAATTCAATACAATAAAAATCATTGAGTTGTTTTATTCCCAAAGCTTTTGCTGTTGTTATTATTGTTGTTGGTCAAATTAATAATAGATAACAAAGGCGCAGAGTGAAATGAAAAGCGAACCGACACGAGAATAATAGAAGTGAAGTCACAAAGCAAACTGACCTCATAATAGCAGCAATATTTCGTTTATTAAGCGAAATTAAAGAAAACCTAATATTAATAATAAATAAATGTCAGTTCTGGCAATAGACAAAATTGATTATGTGTGCAGCGAAAACAACAGTAGCCACAAAATCGGAGCTAATAGAAATGACAAAAGCTGCCTCTTTGCTTGCCTAATTAAGCCAAACACCATCCAATCCGATGAGCTGCCAACGGGCCAGAGTCCAGGCCTTTTGACCATGTTTCAGCTCAACAAAACGCAATCAACTCGGGCAATAACAATGAAAGATTGCACTGCACGCTACATGCTACATGTAACATGCCACGTGCCACATGGAAGCGGGAAACGGCCTTCGTTTGTAGTGGCCAGTGCTAATTTGAAGTTATGTGCGTTCTGATGTAACCAGAAACTGGACAGACCCCAGGCTCTGTGCTTGGAACGAAATTTCAATGCACACCTGAAGGGCAGAGCTGTAGCCACACGACACCATGGCAGTTTAGGGGTGGGCGTTGTGGCTATGGCACAAGGGCACAAGTCGAGACAAAGAGTGAAAGCCTCTCGCATTGCGGTTAAACGAATGTGCAGCAACCTCAGGGGGGAGCACATCACAGACCAAGTCCTTGTTTTAGTTATTCAAGCGAATAACAGCGAGTAACGCTGCAGAGATGTGAACGAATTTGCCTATTGAAGAGATGGAATACACACAGCCAAAATTGTTTTCTTAGCTTACAACTAGTTTAGTTGTTTTTCCAAATTTTTGTGTTCTTCATAAATATCCACTGTAAAGAAAATGGCTGTCAGCAAATATTTATAAGGATTATCATGTCTGTTTTGACTTTTTGCTATAGCGAAACTTAGTAGAATTCGTGCCTATTAGGTTGCACAATGATTCACGGCACGCGCACATTTCTGAGACAGGCACTGAAACGACAACGATGGTTGCCACTCAGTCTCATGCTGTGCAGAAGAAGCAAGCCTAGAGCTCCAGCATCAGCTGCTGGTGGCCTCGTCAATGCACCACCTTCAGCTGTCGAAATGGCAACAACAACGACACCGCAACACGAACTTGAGTGCACGCGTACCGCACTGTGCGGCAGTGGAACAAACCGTGCAACATACCACAAAGTGAACAAATTGCCAACTAACATAGCAGAAGCAGCAGCAGCAGCAGCAAGAACAACAACAACAGCAGGGGGTCAGGCTGCGTTATATCCTGTATCAAATTTTCATTCAGTATCCAAAACTTTCCCATGCGCACGAGGCGACTTCGTTGGTGCTGGCCAAAGTAGGTCGTCTGTTGTCGTACAACTTCTAACAACCTCATTACGAGGTGTACGTATCGAAACTGATGACGTCATTGGTTGAGCTTTACGCTTTTGGCTGCTCATTCGTGCCACCAAAAGCTGCGCACGGCCACCGCCGCCACCACCACCACAACCACCACCCACTCCAAGTGGGAGTTGTGCGGGTCTGCAGGTTTCCGGCTACGACTCGGGCCGTCTGGATGGGCCTGAAAAATGCCAAATACCTGACCTCAAAATGCCAAAAGATTTGGCATTTATCAATTCCTTATCAGAGCCATCAGATCGACAGGTTTTCACACAAATCAGCTACAAGCCCCAAAAGGTGTTCACAAGCGCGTCCTGGAAGCACTTGCGCAAAGAGAGCGAGAAAAACAACAACAGACTAAGAGAGCTGAGTTCATTAGCAAAAGAGCAAAAAAGAGCGAGAGAGAGAGCGTAAGACTCTCAGCAAGTCGGCGAACGCTTTGGCGTCGGCGTCGTTTCAATTCAGTGTCAATGTGTTGACTGGAAAAACTCGGCCCAAAGTTGTGAAAACAACAAGAACCTGCCAAGCCACGAAAATTGCATTAAGCAGCAGAAAAGCGAATGGACAGCACAATAAACTGTTGGGTTCCGATGAAGAGGTCTACTTGAGTGCCAGCTAGATGCGTACAGCTATAGGAATTATTATTGTTATTCACTTTTATTGCCTTTTATATTTTCGTGCGTGTTTCTTACTAAGGCTCTTTGTTGTTGTGGCTAAATGATAACATATCCTGTTTCAATAACTCGAGCACACACATACGAACACATTTGCTGCTTTATGATTATGAGTATCTACATTTGCGTCTGTCTCTGTATCTGTGTGTCAAAAGTGGCACAAAACAAAATCTGCACTAATCACATTTAAATTTTGTACAATTTTTTCTTCAAATGGATTTCAATTTATATTTATTTTTTATACATTTTTTAATAAAGCACCGCGAAATCTTTTCAGCTTTTATTGAAACTTG